TTGTGTCATTCGTTATTAATCCTTGTCCACCTACATTTGATTTGTCTTCTTCTAATTTCAAATATTTATCCGATTCAGTATATATTGCATTTCCGATTAATGTTAGATATCTTGAAACATTCTCAAGCTGTACAGCTCGCACAATCCTCTCAATGTTGGGTATTTGTAAACTACACTCCCACTCCCACCCCCAAACTAATTTTTAGTTATATGGTTGGATAGAGGATGCCGAGTTGTCTTCACGCCCACCCATATTTTTTTCTGTCTTTGCTTTGCTGGAGTACAGGGCGGCTGGTAGATATTCGTAAACCACATTCCCACCCACTCCCAGCCAAAATCCATTCACACACACACAACAAGGTAACCTCTAGTCACATGGTTGGATAGAGGATGATGAGTTATTTAAGTCACCCACCATGTGACTAGAGGTTAGTTTATGTGTGTGTGTGAATGGATTTTGGCTGGGAGTGGGTGGGAGTGTAGTTTACGAATATCTCCCAGCCACCCTGTACTCCAACAAAGCAAAGACAGAAAAAAATATGAGTGGGCGTGAAGACAACTCGGCATCCTCTATCCAACCATGTAACTAAAAATTAGTTTGGGGGTGGTAGTGGGAGCGTAGTTTACAAATACCCCTCAATGTTTGGTTGATAACATTCGACTGAGCTGTTGTGCGCCGAATGGATAATGAATACATCGTGCAAGTACCAATATTAGCACCAATATCAATCATAGCTATGATTGGAACCAAAATGGTGCCTTATTTTCAGAAATGGAATCCTGACTCATGAAAACTACTTGCTTACAAAAAACAGACAAAAAAAGCTCATGTACACAGGCTCAGTTAGTTTTGTGCAATATACTCTCTGAGACTCATTCTAGAGCATCTTTATCCAGTCTAGAGAGAATTTATGTTTCACTTTGTTGTCATTACTCAAGTAGAATTTAAGTTCTCTTACCATACTCTGGATTTTTTAATAATATTGTTAATAGCCGTGCTAAGAAGTTTTCTTCCTATATCCCTTGATTAGCAATTGTACCACTAACAAAGACATCTTTGCCCACATCATGTACACAAATAGTTGTTTTAAGTGTCAAAATCGTTGCCCTTTACTGGTATTATTTTAAGCGATACTTTTGACTTTATACAAGTAAAATTGGTGTGAATTTCGCCACAGAAGTCAACAATATTGACGTGCGGTCCTGATGTAATGGGTCTTAGTTGTTGATAACATCCAACAACTAAACGTTTTGTATACATCGAACTTATTCCCGTTTTCTGTATCATATAATTAATTAGTACTCCAATCGTAAGCGCCAGAGATAATTGAAATATCAAGTAAGTCATTTTCCATCGTGAAACCATAAGTTATTGGATATTTTAACCCACGAGCACTTTATCTAATAGCCTTTGTCAGAAATGCGCACGTATTTGGTTTGTATCTTTCATGTTGAGGAAAACAGGCTAACAAGTGCTTTATTTTCTTCTTTTCGATAGAGGGAATAAAAAATTTCTTCTTATTCATAGCGATATACACACAGACATATGCTTTATTTTCTTCTTCTTCAATAAGGAGAACATAACTTCTTATTTACACACGATAAGTTGTTATTATTCGAGTAACAATGACACGTAAGTACGTGCATTCATTTTTTCCACCATGTTTCATACCATAACCCAGCTGAAGAGACTTTTGAGCAAGATCGAAACCGGTCCTGAGTTGCTCCGCGTTTTTTGTTTTTTTAAAAAGAAAGTTTTCCAAAAAGTCGAACTTTTTCAAGATTGTCGTTTTTGGTTCAAAAATGTTAGCACTAAGGAAAAACCTCAATAAAAGGTTTGAAGATGGCAATTGGATCTTGTACATGGGCCTATTTGCCGAAGAACAAAAACATGAATATGAATTAAGATTACATAAGAATCTACTTACTGCCAACCATTACAGACAGGTTTCACAGCGACAGTCGTAATTATCCCAAATGCTTAAAAATGAATCATTAGTTATTTAAATCCTATGTGTGTCCTATAGCTGTGCATATTTTATGAATCATTGAATTAGAAGAATGTGAAGATCCAAATTATAATAAAAATGAATCCGAAAGTAAGATGCTCTTCTTCACGTATCTCGAAGAAAATTAATTCTTTAGATTCTGTTTGTCAAATTTTCAGGTAATGAAACATCAAGAACATCATCATTTTCATCATCTGTTGATGATATAAAAGATGTCGAAGAATATCAAAACTTTAAATAACGAAAACGTCTTCATTATGGCATCATTGGATTTTTGGAGTTAGCTATTCTTTTGGCTTTAAGTTTTACATTCATTTATATTTTTGTTATTAAAAAACAGTCTACAAACATGGCAACGTCTACACCAGAAAAAGATAATGATGTCGACTATCAATTATCACTAGGTAAAAGTGAGACAATAAGAAAAAGCTTGCCAGAGAAGGTCCTAACAAGCTAAAATGTGAAATCTCTCCCTAACTTCTCCGAAATATGTATTTGGCTTTTAAACAAATTAATTAAAATTCACTCTTTCCTTATTGACAATTAAAACCACTGACTTTGAGTTCAGGTGGGGCAGTCAATTCAGTAATTATGTATTTCATAGATCTCGTGAAAGCGTGCAAAGTTGATGTCGCAGTGAATAGATTAGAGTAAAAAATTCTTTGCAAAAAATACTAAACTATTCTATTCTATTCTTTCTTGAACAACTACAAAATAGACATTTGATGTGCATTTCTTGTAGGTTGTCCCAATATATTAAATCGATCTAGCTGGAATGCACGTCCATATACAAATCGTGATAATTTAACATTACCGGTTACACATATTGTTGTACACCAATTAGAAGATTTGAATTCAACTATGAATCCACAAGATTGTATTAAAAAAATAAAAGAACTTCAAGATGAACACGTGACGTTATTGGGTTGGTCGGATATTGGTTATAATTTTATTCTATGTAATGATAATGATGATCAACAACAAATTTATACAAGTAGAGGATGGAAACATATTGCTGCACATTGTAAAGGTTTTAATTCAAATTTATTGGGTAAGAATAAATTCCTTTTTTTTAACTTTCTAGAACAACGGATCTTAGGTTTTTGTCAATTTGATCTTGATCTTGTCATAGTCTTGTTAGAAGTAATTAAAATCTTAGATGAGTTTTGATGTGTATGGCTATAAGGGTTTTATTGCTGAAGTGTTCTATTGTTTCCTAAGTTAGCGTTTCAAGATTTCAAATCGTGTTGTTTTGTTTTCCAACAGGTATTGGTGTTATGGGCAATTATACCGATATTAAATCTTTGAACGCATTTAAATCATTAATTCAATGTGGTATTATAAAGAACGATATTATAGAAAATTTTACACTGGTTGGACATAAACATACAACAGATATTTATGAATATTATTTGAAATATTTTAGAAATGTTACCGATCTTCAATATAGCAATCAAGCCAGCAGCACACAGGTTTTTGTCAATAATTCAACAGTATCCGTTTTTTGCCAATTCCAAAAGTCTACTCTTTTGCAGCTGAAATTGTAAGAAATTTGTTCGTAATAACACAAAAGAATTTTAATCAAGTGCACTCGGGAACGCTTATTAACGATATTTTATTTTTATTTATAAATATATCATGATAACTGAGAAATAGATGAATAGGGGACATTTCAGACAAGTTGATGAGACACAACGATCATATTCGTCAACTGTTACATTCGACATACGATGCGTGCCGTTGCTATGATGAAAGGTCCAATCTCCTAAGAAATAAAAGAAAGTATGATGACGAAACTATACATGAAAAACGCAGATAACGCACAGACATCTTTTAGAGTTCGAACGAATGTATCTCGAGAACAATAAGAGAGAAGACTTGAAATTTTGAACAAGTATGTAGGTAAACAAATTCTATAATGCTTAACGTTTTAGCCTCAACCGTCTAACTGTTCCGATTTTATGAGTAAAATACTGGTCGGTAACACACAGACAAAAAAGAGCCTCTTTTCTAGGAAGATGCGAAGGAAGGGATAAATCATGCGAACTATTCCATGCTAATGAATAGCACAACAGAGATTTTTTGTAGCTGAAAATCAGGGCTGTCTTTTGTTGAAAAGAAAACAGTGATAACTTAAAAGATGACTGAGTTATTGCTAAAACACTAGGTAACGCACAGACATGAAGTTTTAAAAAAATTCCTAAATCTAAAATACTATTTCGTATTTGAAAATTATATATTCGCACTGCAGGATGCACAGTATGTAGGCTGTTTTATATTCTGTTTATAAGAAATCAACAAGAAACAATTTATAAAACCCTATGGTTTTCCCTAAGGATTTCTAGAAAGCCTTAGGACAAAAACATCATTTTTTTTCGATCTTCTAATCACGTCTAGCGTACAGAATTAACTATATCCCGAAGTTCTGACCTCATTCTGATGTTTTTTGAGTGAATTGTGAATTCTTTAATAATAGATGAAAGCAGGCGAAAAATCCTAATTTTTGAAAAACTTGGTTTTCGCTAGATATTTAAAATTTTTTTTCCAAAAACAAATGTTGCCACGAGATTCAGCATAGTGGAAACTTATGTTATGATGCATTGCTGAGATTCGTTAAGTGAAATGGAGAGCAGTCCTAGGGCTCCTAGAAAGATCTGATTTCCTGCGCAATCGTGACAGACGAAGCTCTAGCTTAGATATTGTTTTGTGGAGGACACATTAATCTATCTATTTATGAAAAAAATCAGTATATTGCTATGTCGAATTTTCCAGTTAGGAAACGGTTTCTAGAAAACTCTTAGAAAACCTTAAGTTATTGAGATATTTTGGCAATCTCATACGTTGAACTACATAGTTTTGCAAGCTCCAAACAAAAACACAAAAAAATTTTAACTTTCCGCCTCTTGTTACAAGACAAGATCTCCAGAAAATCTTGGTTTTTCAGCGAGAAACGTCCTAGAATCTCCAGGAAAAAATTTTTTTTACTATAGTTTTTATAAAAGTAGAGCGTTATTTTAAGTTTTTAGGTACAGTACAATGTGCTCTATTCGATGAGTGCATTGAATACAAATTTCAATTATCGTAGAATTTTTTGTAATACTGATCCCGAGACCTGTAAGCTCAAAATCCAGATTTTCTAGAAACCTATTATGAACGTCAAAATGAAAGGAAATTGATAGTACCCTTGGGCTCGACATGATGCATAACCTCTAGGCCCTGACTTTCAAGTTGATATGTTCAGTTTTGTATACGCTGGAGGTTTTTTTCTCATATTGGAATTATTCTAATTCGTAGGATGCAAAATCATCAAAGATGACATTGAGGTCGACTTGCAGTAAAGATTTCAGATCTTCATAGTGTTCCAGTCGAGAAATATAGTGTTGCAAAGTAGACCAGAATGGTCATCTTACCCTCTGAAGGGACCATCATCGCAAATCTTTGATCTGAAAACTGTTTTGTAGGCTGAGGTGGACTGGATGGATAAAAGAATTCTACTCAAGCGACTGAGTCCTTCTCGAGATATCATGTTTGCAAAGTGCCTCTGATAGTTGGTAATAGCGTGAAATTCGACTTTCAGTAAAAATTCAATATAAAATCAAGCGTTCAATATTTTTTTTTACCCAATAACATATGTTAAAATGGGCCAAATCGGAGATATCGATTGAGCACGTTAGGTCGTGGCTTACGTGGAATGACTGATAAAATGTATTTTCTGATTTACGTCCTTATTTAAATTTTTCTTTCATTCAGAGACAAGAAGATATTTACGTTTGGATATATTTTTACCTTTTTATTGCACATCTCTTTATTATTGTGCAAATAATAATAATAATCAAGAAGAGAAATAAAGAGAAAGTAATCGTTAAGTGTATTAAAACTTTTATGTCAAATTCTAATCACTGAAAAAATAAGAAAAGCAAGTTGGATTACCTTCCACGAATACGCCTTTATATTCAGCTTTATTGACAAGAAAGTAAATAGGCACAAGTATCGAAATGATTAACTTTTTTCTTCTTAACTTACATGCTATTGATGTGCTTCTCTTTTAAAGGCCGAGGAGAGAGGCAAAAAAACATATTGCGTACTTATAATACAGATAATCCACTTGGCGTGATCGTACTTCCTTTTTACCATAAGTAATATGCAAAATAGTGCCTGCAGTACTTGTGGGTCTGGAATAATGCATTCAATCACGTCAGCTCTTTCTATTCTCATGGTCACATACTGAGAGGAGGACATCTTATTACTTTTCGCAATAAGTGAAGTCATGGACAAAATGGGCGGTTCATTAAAAACACACGAAAATCGTCAGAATATTGGGAATCAGCTGTGACTATTTCGACTTTTCTCATACTGCACATAATGACGATTTCTCACAAAATGTGCTGGTCAAGTCCAAAAAGTCGAAAATCGCAAATAGTTAATATTAACAAGTAGCGCTCATTTTTGGAATTCGCTGATCATTTTCTGGAAGAACTGCTCTGCATTCTGAAATAGGAAAAACTCGTCAAGGTCTCGTCTAATTTGTTTGGTGCTCGACATAGGCGGTTACTCGGAAAACATTCAATTTCTATCGTTTGGGTCAATGAGAAACATTTTGCATAGAAAACCGACAAGTTGCCTGTAACGCGACGCTATATGCTCTTCACCTTGGTCTAAAACTCGCCTATGGAGGATCTCAGATCTTCGTGTCCAAAACGTCACTTGCTAAGGAGTGACTTCGACGTATTTGACGCTAAAATCCATAGTATATTCTCCTGAAAGCAGAAGTATGTTCAGAAGTATGACCACACTTGAGAAAGTAAAGGTACAATACGAAACCATTTAGGTTTCGTAAAAGAATACGAAACTTTAATAAGTTTCGGATACTGATACGAAACCATAAAGGTTCGGAAATGGATACGGAAAAGTCGTTGGTAAACCTACCGCATGATCCTCAAAATGGCGCCAGTCGATCGGTTCCTTACAAAATTCACAAGGAATATGAGCAATGTCATCCGATTCGTTGAACTGGCGTGATCGATCTAGAAGTTGAATGAAACGCTCATCAGCACGAGCTGAGCGGCTCACTTGTAGAACTCATATTGAGTATTGCACGACGCTGGTCTGTCGGCGGGAAGGAATGGTTCTATGAAGTCTGTATGTATGGGAGACGCGGAATCCGAGATAGAGATAGCCAGCATTTGTTCTGTACCCCAGACGGAAACGGGCGGCGAAAAATGTTCATCCCTAAAAGTAGAACTGGTTTACGTTTCAAGGATGTTCAGATTTTTTAAGAAGAAAATCCCCAGATTACAGATATTGTATGGAACTAACTGAAACCACCAGAATTTGCAAACACTAGAGTAAAATACTATTATCGTAAAAAATGGCGCTAACTTTTTCCGCCTTGAAAAACAAGAAAGTCTCTCGACTTGAAAGACAAGATGCAGTTGGACTTCAACTAATAAATACCACTGTTCTTCGTTAAATCCAGCGAATCACGTAAATGAGAACTTTTGCGACTTCACGACGAAATTAGACTTCCAAGTGCTTTTAAATTCAGGGCGACCACGAGGTCGTGACTGGAAAATGGCACTTTGCAGATCTGTAGTCCAGGATGCCTGCCTTTAAGGGGGGTTCACCCTTCCCCCCATTTTTATTTGGATATGTTGTACAGTTCGATGGGCTACGTCATAATAACCCCCCTTTATGGGGTCAGAAACGTAAAAAAAATGATCAAAATCGAGTTACAAAATTTCTTTTCCCATGTATTTTGCTGGGAAATGAAAAACTATTTTGAAAAAAACCTGGCCCAACATGCTGCAAAAACGGTGCAAGATGGAAAAAAACTTTTGGTACAAAAAAGTGTGCTCCATGGTCGACTGCGGTGGCTAACGTTGTCTGATTTTCAAAATTTTTCCATTAAGTCTCGAAAACAGATCACGTTCTCAATAACTGTAAATTAAAAGTTATTTAATAGTTCCCTATGTAATTTTAATAAAAAGAAATAAATCTACGCCAATTACTCACCAGATTCTAATATATACTTTCAACAAAGAAGTGAAAAATAACAAAAGAAAAACAATTTCAACGTAGTACGAAGAAGATAAGAAAGTATATGTCACATTTTTTATTTGATGATCAATGTGTAATTTTCAATCTCTATAGAAAGAAAAGACGAGATAAACAACGTGTTGGTCTTCAAAATGCCTATCACTGTCAATAAATTAATTGCGAAAATAGTATTTTTCCAAAATATTGAAATTAAAATATACATCTTCATAAAAATAGCAAAGAATCGGACTCCTTAACTCTGATTCTACAGCCATCCATTAACATGTGAATAGTGACACTAAATTCATAAATATCCGAAAAATTGTCTTCTATCAGCTAAACTATCAAATGGACTACAATCATAAGATGGATTATTATACGTCTCACTGTGGACTTAATGAATTAAGGTGAGGATCCACCCTCCTATATGTACCTTCAAATTTTGTCAGTTTAAAGAGGACACCTGACCACATATATCCTTAAGTTCTTTCGATGAACTGGTAAGTATTCGCAGAGTTATTAATTAATTAAGTTTAAATTTTAATTAGAATTTGGGTAACTGGTTCCCATTTTGCAAAGCTTCTAGCTCGATTAAAAATAATCATAGAAATGTCGGTCTCGCATTGTTTGATAGCCAATGATCTATTGTGATACTTTCATGGGAAAAAAGTTTAAAAAAGCTTTTTTAAGATACTGATTTATAATTATTTAAAGCTAATTAGCATCACTCTGGTGCATTACCTCTTTATTTGCAAGCTAACAGTTTATTGTAAGTCATCAAGTAATACATGATTCGAAAGCTCTATCCAAGCACTATAGACTATGTATTTTTTGTAGCCGTTGCACGGTTGTGAGACAATAACAGCGACTGATTGGTTTTTTTATTTTATTAACCTGACCGGTTTCGAATTCTTCTTCAGAGGTTAACAAAAAACTGTATGAAATTAAAAGGAAGGTCTCTTCTTTTATATATACAAGAAAATATTTTTATACGTCGATATAAACTAGATAAAAAATGATGTACATGAATGGAATGTCTTTCGACGTAATGAAATGGAATGTCTTTCGATGTTCTGTGAATGATCGTTCTGCACACGATAGAATGTATACTTGTTTTCGTTTTATTGATATGCATCTGTTATTTGTTTTCTTACTTGCCTAAGTAATTTTTGTTGCCTAAAAATGTCCTTATACTCCGGTCCCGGAGTCAATTGTTCATACTCAGGAACAGAAAGGAGCTAGAAAGGTTTTCCGGAGACCACGCTAACTCGGTCCGGACACGTCGGAAGATCTCGGAAAGACTTGGAACATAGGTTACCGAATGTGCTGATCAACGTGGCAATGTTTGTTTCTGACTAGAAGTTGATCCAAGGTCACCAGAATATTTTTAATGAAAAAACGGATTTGTGCATGAAGCCTGTCAAAACTAGAGTTGCCGTATATCAGCCATTTTAAGTCAGAAACACACTAAATTTTTAGGAAACACTTAGAAT